TCTATTGCCACACATTATTAGAGCATCATTTGAAAAAATTTATAAAATACAGCGAATGAAAGGATATAAGATTCTTAACTTAATTTGTCAATGCAAAAGATATCTATGTCAAATAATATTTCCCTTCATATTTAACAACTTTTGTACGAATATCTTTTTGACAACAAGAAACATCTTGTAAAATATTCCATTGTTCTCATTTGTATATCATTGAACATTTTGGACAATCCTACAATTTGAAAGCAACTCGAATAATCTAAGTATTTTTTAAATACATACGAAGCAAAATGCTACTTTTCCTTAATAACAAAATGATGCGGTATTTAAAGGGAACTATTGCTGCTTGTTCTTTCCTTTTATTTCTCATATTTGTCACTTTTGGTTATTTCGTACTGTTTCAATCTTGCATTTTAACATCCGTTTGCTTCTATAGGAATACACTTTTATATTCTTTCAAAGAATTTCCCGCGTACTTTTCCCATATATTCTTGGATTATTTTCACCTAACCCTAAAACTTGATGAAAATACCGATCAATTGCTACACAAAGAGGAAAAAAAAACACAGGTGAACGATAAGTGAGATCTATTACGGCCTCGATATAGCTATCCATAAATATTCCCAATTAAAAACTACGAGACATCGGGCAAATTAGGCAACTTAGTGAAGGTTGGAGCTGTCACGGAGGCAATTCGCCTGTTACGCTTCAATTTTGCCACATTCATTAGCCTCGATCGTTCCGATTGAGGCGATTGCCCAACAGCTTCGAATAATACACATCGCAGCGGGGAAATCTCTGCCGCTAACAAATCTACGTCCCAGCCTTAATCTATCGTGCATCGTGGTTACTTAATCGCGTATCTCGTCGTCCAATTATCTCCTCCTCCCCCCTCCCCCCTCCCCCCGTTCCACCCTCTTCTTCACGCAGCGTGCGCAACGAATTGTCCTAAAAATTGGATCGAACGGTACCTTCGATTCCGTTCGACTGCACAGACACGGTCTCCCCGCGGTGATGAAAAGTTCAGCCGGTTGGAAAAATCGACGAGAACGACTCGCGTTCGCTGATTACGGCGTAGCGCGGCGTGGCGCGGCGCGGCACGGCGCGGATTCCTCCCCGAGCAGAAACCATCGTCGGTTCGATCGTGCGAAACTCGTTACCCCGGAGCCGTTAGCCGCGCGAATAAAGAAGCAAAGTATATCGAGAGGCATCCTGACGAGCGAATCACGGAGCGATAACGTCGCCGCTTCTGATTTCCAGCGTAATCACACCGCCGCCCGGGGAACGTGCAACACCGGGTTCAAAGTCCTGGCAATTTCTGATGCGTTTCGCACGCATCTTGGCTCGGCTCTGCGCCCGCGTGAACTTGAGAAAAGTACTCGCGGTTTTGTGCCTTTTTCCTCGCGATTAGTCTCGAAGTTTGACATTTTGGAAGAAGGATCGATGATCAAGTTTGATCGAGAGTGATCTTGTTTGAGATTGGCGATTTATAAGAATCGAAGTTCAAAGTCGTGATATATGAATCTGGATTTTGTTATGTAATTCTTATAAGAAATATATTTTTGTAGCGAATATATATATATAGTTTTATATCGATCTCTACGAAAGTTATTACACTTTTGAATGATAATGCTGAAATTTTAAAATGTAACGTGCACGACATGTCCCATTTTGAAGTTATATATCCAATTGTCTTCCAATTTATTTGTTATTCCACGAAATGTTTCAAGTAAAAAATACTATTTTATTTCTCCAAGCGGAGAAATGGAAATCTTATAACTTTCACAAATATTATTTATTGTCAGATGAGCGTTTTCAAGATAACCATTTTTTCTGTTCTTTTTTTAAATAGAACTATGATTTCATCTTGATGAAACGTATCTTTCTATTATCTTATATTCGCGTTAGGCGAATGCTGCATCGTCAAACAATCTCAAGATAAGTGCATCTGACGCTTATAACGGAACTTTAACGTATTTCTTAACAAATTCATTCATCTCGATATATTAATGTTATAAAGTAGTTGAAGGTGATAAAATTTTATTCGTTATACGTTCCTTTTCTATACATGTAATAAGCCAACACGTAATTTATAGAAAAAGGACAAAATTACTTTGCAACATTAGTATGTTATCAATTTCGTTACAGAATGAATCAAGCTAGATTCAATTTATCAAATATCAAAACTCTCGTTAACTAAACACTAACATCAACATTAACAATTAAACTGTACCTATCTTCGAACAAAAATTTCATATTCACGTACTATCGAGGTACCATCATCATCTCTACCGGAAGTGAAAGCTAAAAATTTCAGCCAGAACAGGAACACTCTCGACGACGCAGCTGCCTGTCTTAACTTATACGTGTAGTATCCACGAGTTACGCGGCGCGAGAGGAGAGGGGGGGGGGGAGAGAGAGAGAGAGAGAGGGCAATCAGCCCGGCAATCTAGCATTATTCCCCGACGCGTTATTGCGTTATTGGCGTGGAAGTCGGGGTCTGGAACCGAAGAGGAAGACCGATGGGCAACGGCGCGGCGGTTGCGTATACCGCGATTAGGCGGGTTGCTGCGATTTGAATGATTAGATAGGCTCCGAGACGATTCGGAGATGGCTGTGTTCCCGGCGGCGAAATAACAGCCTCTGGCCGCAAGCGGGCGGACGCATTCGTGACCGGTAGGCACGCATCTCGCGCCACGGGTCGATAGTTCGCACGAACACGCCGGTCAATTCGCTCTGGACCTGCTGCTTTGCCGAGCAAAAGTGAAGTTTCCAACCTGCATATCTAAGCAGATAGACAGAAAGAAGATTGGTACTCTTCTCTCACACTCTGTTCCACGATTGCGCAGGTGTGCGTAGTATTATATTTCCGGCGAAGATCCAATCCCTTTCATTAGCATATAATGTATACATATGTATGTATATATTAATTATTTTATTACTACAAAATTCTATATTAATTTATTAATTATTATATGTAATAATTATATATATATTTATTATATTTATATAATTATCACACAATAATTATATAATACAATATTTATATACATACGTTAGGTCAATCTGTTGACCACTTGCGCTGGCAACTGATTGCGGACCGTAACGAGTGACCAAACCGTATACACTAATTCGTCGCTTTCTTTTTGAACTCCATGATACATATCATTGGATAGAAATGATCGAAACGTAATAAATTTATTATTTGTTTTGCCTGGGTTATACTTAAAACTGAGAAAATATTGCAATTTTGGGACAAAAAACTCTCGACGTGCGTGGCACGTCATACTAGTGCAAGAGGTTAATTATATATGTAGATTATTCGTAGGTTATATTAATTATTTGATTACTACAAAATTCTATAATATTTTATTAATTATTATATATAATAATTATATATATCATTATATTTATATAATTATCACACAATAATTATATAATACATATTCATATAAACATAGGTTAGGTCAATCCGTTAATTATACAGGTTACTATAGTCAAAGATGAAGATGGTATGATTCTTTCATTAGTTAATTTGAAGAATGTAGCAAGAATTACGATTGAATTTATACGTGATTTATACGATTTTACTTAGCTAAGAGTATTATAGTAGAGTATTATAGTAGAGTTTATGTACGAAAGATACAAATTCGACATTTATTATTATATGTATGTTACTACATGTATACATGTTGAATCAATCGTCCAATATAAAATTAATTAAATTAAATTAATAATAAATTTATGATTCTTGCTAATTTTTCATAATAAAATGATAATATCGTATATTTATATTTTTCTATATCAATGCAATTATATCCAAAACTGACATTGACTCTGTATTCGGATACAGACGATTCAAGTAAAAGTGTGTGATTAACATTGCGATATGCATATACAGCGAAAGAATCTTTCTTTTCAACATTAATTTTTCCTAGAGTTCATTCAAGTTATACATACATACTGCACGACGCAGCGATCTCGAGTGATCTAACCTATCTTTCTCCACCTTATCATCCCCCCCTTGGAAACGATTGTCGACAGGTGCGTCGAGACTGAATTAACGTTCGTTCCAGTCGAATCGAGAGGGCTTTTAAGCGGAGCCTAACCATCACGTATGGCAATTTCGTCGAATCGTTGAACGGCGACTCCCTGATTGCTTTTAATCGGCTACGGGAGCGAGCAATGTAATTTTAGGAAAGACTTACCTAGATGGTAACGATCGAGAAACGAAGCCTGTCCATGCACTGAACTTGAACAAAAGTTTACGTTGAATTCTGGCCGCGTCAATTGTTCCGCTGTATTTACACGTTCCACCGAGACATTCGACGTTCCGCGTTCCTTGTTCCAAAGAGGCGGTAGGTTAGTTCCGTACTTACGAAGTGACGACAACGGCGATATTAAACGAAACGGGCGAGGTTTTGTCGAAACGCGTCGCGAATTGAACGATTTTTACGAGGACAATGGCGAGACACGTATGTTTACCGATTTTGTTTCATAATTCGTTGATTAACGTCGTCACTGAAAAGGACACGATACCGGATTGACGTAGCCGCGAAAATAAACTGAATTTACGTCGTTTGAACAGCGAGAACAGTGGTACCAACTTAGGTACCAAGACAGTAATAACAACAGCAGTGATGCTAACTTAAATTTGTTAGCTATGGAGACAGCTCGAGTGGTTCAAAGTGTTTATTATTTATATATATATTTTAAAAATTCACGAATGGATTGCGAATTTTCGATGCAATCTTACATTTCTATAAATATAATTTAAAAGGTTACGTATTTGTTTCATCTGATAAAAGTGGAAACACGTATAACGTGATTGAATAGTTGACGTTGAAATTTTTAAAATTAGTAAATAATAAATAATACAAATGCAGATAATTTCTAAATTTTCGCGATTTTACATTTCTCAAAATAAATGAAGGGTAAGTAATAAATTCATAATTTTTGCTAATTTTACATAATAAAATGCTGCATAGATACCCATAGGTTATTTATGGTTTTTTTTCTCCAGATTTTTGATCAGAAGAAGTGTCTGGATCTGTGTCTTCAGGTATTGGTTTCGAGACGAACCGCAAGTTTTTCATCGCCTCCGGTCGAAGGTAAGCATAATTTTTTTGTTCGTATATCCTTTCGATATCCTTTTTCTTCACCGCTGAAACAAGCAAAAAATCATAACAATTAAATACTACTTATAAATATTTATTTTTATTGCATACGTACATAACAGCTCTTCGTTTCTCTGTGCATGAATATTTTCTTCCTTGGTCTGTTTCTCGCGCTTCTTCAAATTTACGACCTTAGGATCTTGGACCAACTTGCTTGCCTCTGTGTACAGTAAGAACAAAGTATCTTCAAATTATCCCACATATTTTATTTCTTTGATTTTGATCCGTAAGAAGAAGACGTTTACTCTTTTTCCTGTCTTTGTTAGAAATGTGCGCATTGGAGTGTCTGTGAATTTCTGGATGAATAGTTTCAACGTGCTCGGATTCTTCTTTCTTCTTGTTAATTTTCTTCGAATCTTTCGTTTCATCGAGATCGATGTCTGTCTCGCCATTTTCAATCCAGGAGGACTCACCTCCGTCGCTCGGAGGATCCGCTGAATTCGTTAGAATTATCGAGTCCGATGAACTCGATGGATTTTCACTGGATGGATCGTTCAGTTTCGTAGGCTCTGCTCGAAACAGACAACTTTTTCTCGTTGGAAACGAAATAAACATTCGTAACTATCTGTTGCGTGTTTTAAAATAGAATCATAGTTTCAGCTGATTCAAGCTTGTATCTTAAATATAGTCGCCTGGTCTTGTGAATCGAGTTTTTATAGTTGATATATTATCTAAGGCTATCGAGTGTAAAATCACCGGTTAAGCGTTCGCCGGTGTGCGTAAAGTTGATGATCGCTGATTACACAGGTGATAACGACAGAGGTGTAATTTTCAAACCTCAAGGTAGCTGAAACGTCGGCAAAACATCGCAACACCCATATTATTGAAGGCGAATCTACGCGGTGTAACGTCCAGAAGCCACAGAAAATATTAACGTGTATAAATGTATTCTTTCTAATGCACGAAATCCTATAATTTCATTATCTGGTGGATTTAGCTTGCAACTATGCGTTTAACCAACCGTCTCTTTACAAAGTAATTGTTTACAGAACTAAATAACCCCGTTTCTCTCGAGCAACTTTTAACGATTATTGTTTATCCAGTTCCTACATGATTCCCCGTCTCTACGAGTCGATCACAGGAATTGTTATTTATCAGCAAGCTCCATGGTCCACGCTATTGATCGTTGATCGGTAGCGTTTGTTAGACCCTATCACGGGATGCTCAGCGCTAATGCAACTCAAATACCGCGATCGTCCGGCTCATAATGGTAAGGCCCCATTAAGGCTAGGTGTAAGTCGTAAGAAATGGAGTAATGATCAGTTGTGTCGGCCTGGACACTCGGATATTAACTATACCACGTATCGGCTTTGTTGGTTCATTCGCTTTGTATCACTTTATTACTCGCGGGACAGTTTCCTCTAGCCTCGATCAAAGCTTCGATCCGCTGGAAACACTGGCAAGTCGCGGTGATTGTTCGTGACGAGTTTGTCGGCAAAATCTTTGAGATGCATCCTCGACAGATGTTATATTTTAGTCGTGGCCAGACTCTCATCGATCGTAAAGTCTTTTTTTTTTTCTAGTTTTGTGATGTATCGTGGCCAATTAGATATTGTCCACTTTTAAAGAAAAAGAAAGTACTATACTCTTGTCCTCAGATGTATCTAGAATTACTGACATCAAATTGACACTTGAATAAAGAAAACATTGACGAACAGATTGCCATATTTTTGTTTAAGAAACGTTTATTCTTTTTTCCAGTATGTCTTGGACAATATTGGACAATATTAGTTTTCTCGAACCGTGATAAAATGTTACAAATCTTGAACGCGAGGAAATTCAATTCACGCCTGTTCAGTTCCACGAAATCCAAATATTCTTACGTTGTTTGTCCCATCTTTTCAAGGATAATCTTAGCATTTCTCTTGAAAGCGAGAGTACTGCGACATTTTTCGAATAGGCTGCTGAGTATCGACTTTTACGCTTGTGTTAGAGTTGTCGATCGGCGAATTCGAAACCTCTTCTGTTTTCGGTGGACCGATACCATAATTCTCGTACCAACGCCATTTATTGAAGTGTTCTCGACTGTATGGATAAGGATCACCGGGTACCTTTATATAATTATCGTCTGCGGTATGTTCTCCTCTGTTCTCCGGTTGTTCCATTTCCTTGACAAATTTCATTTCCTTGTGGCTAATTTGTTGTTGTTGTTCGTTTGATGAGTTTTCGTTGCGTTCGGAGGGTTGTTCTGTAACAAATATTCACGATTAAAAAATTAGTTTCATTATTTTAATTACATGTCCCATAGTTGTCTAACTACCATTGCTGTCAGAATTAAAATATCCCAGAGTATTCAAAAGTATTAGAAATTTATGGCCATAATGTACGACTGATTGTGAGTTTCACTTCTTAGCTTTATGTTTCTTTTTCATTTTATTTGACATTCTGTTGATTATCGAACAAAAGTTTAGCAATTTATTAGGACTATCGAAACGAAAAGATTCTAGATCCTTAAAACGAATAATTTTGATTCAAATAAGAAATTTTTTAGCAGCAGTAGATTCAGTAGCAAAAATGTCAAGATTCCAATAATATGATATTTCTCAAAGTACATTCATAATGTGTTTTTAATTCATTATTAAATTAAGATCTCGTATCCTTAAAAATTTTTTAATGTATAATACTTTTAATATTAAAATTATTTTTGACAATTTTTAGTTAAATTAAGTTTCAATTTCTAACACATTAATTTAATGGTGGAAGAGTTACAAAAAACTGTAAGAAACTCAAAGGCAGATATTGAAATTTGCATTTTCAAAATTGAAATAAAACTATAACAAATTAATATCTCAAAAATGTGAGACAAAGATTTACCTGCCGTCGATTCCAACGACATGGACTCGTAACCAGGATAAAAGTCGTCCTCGTACGGATTGGCATAATCAAAATTCGACTGACAATTATCTGTCTGAGCCTTCAAGTATTCATCAGTCTCGTACTTCCTCGAATCACTCTGAGAAGACGCGGACGCAGAATCGTCATTCGTATCCAGATTCGTCGATTGCGGCCGATTCAAAGAAACTTCCTTGTCTGACTGTTGCCGTTTCGAAATCACAGCGTTCGCAACATTCTCCTCCACGCCCTCGCTCTTCACAAAGTTATTCTCGTTTTTCAACTGTTCTCGATTAATTTCGCTCGCCCCTTCTGAAACAGTCCGCTGGATGTTTCCCCAGCTACTTTCGGCATCCGTCGAAAAGTTCACGTCGTTGTCCAACGAGTTGAGAATCCACGAGGAAAAAGGCGATCTCGATTTTCTTCTCGAAAAGCAAGATGGTCCGGTGTGGAATTTCTTGCTGTCGACCTTTTGAAAATCCGTGGGATTGCTGGCTCTTTTCACGTCCATCCCGGCCGCGTTACCTTTGAACTCTCTGGCATGCTCCGCGCCTTCTTCCTCAGCCGCGGCCTCGTCGCTGGAACTTGGCACAGCCTGCACGTCCAATTTAGGCTCGGGAGGTTCCGGTCTGATCGACAACATCTCCGATTGTCTTTCCGAGTTGACAGTGTCCTCCTTGGAGGGATCCGCAGGCATCTTGGACTTCAAAACGAGATCCTTCCACGCGTCGATCTCCGCGTCGAAGCTCGCGTTGCTCGGAACGTCGTAATCCTCGTCGACACTGGTTTCCTTCATCAACGTCGGGGACGTCTTCAGTATCTTCTTTAGAGAGTCCTTCAGGTTCGCTGCTTCGTTGGTGTTCGTCGATGCGTCTGTCGTAGTCGTATCCGAAAGTTTATTCTTCTCGCCAGATAATTCCGTAGTATCATCTTTCTTCACTTCGGTGTCTTTCGCGGAGCTCATCATCAGCTGCAGGTTCCTCATTGCTTGGGCAGCGTTCACGTCTTCATTGGTATTCACGTTCTCAATTTGGCGCATATCTTTGCTCAAATTCTCCTTCAACACCGACTGATGACTCGTGTCCGATTCTTCGGGGACTCGGATGTCCCATCGGAAGTTCACGTCCATGTTATCATGCAGGCCCGTGACTTTCGCGTTGCTTTCGTTTTGGTAGCCAGACGAGGATCCGCTCTCCATTCGTATCACCGGCTTCTTCTTTTTCTTGTCTTTCTTGTCGTCCTTCTTCTCCCGTTTCTCCGGCATGTTCGGCTCTCTAATGGGCGGCCTCGTGTTCCTAGGGGCGTAGCTCACGATCCTTCGGTTCGGACAACTCAGAAGATCGGTCAGGGTTAAAAGATCGTGACGCGCGAAAGGCGATTGATAATTTCGCTTTGGATTCGCATTGTCGACAACGTCGTTCCATACTGCCCACGTAGAGTCTTTGTTTTCGTGGAGTTTCAATCCCAAATTACTCACGTCGACGATCTCTGTCGAACACTTACGAAGACGTGGACTCTCACACGACTTCTCGATGGCATCGATCTTTCGACTCTCCACGTTCTCGAGTTTGAAATTAATTTGTTTAGCTTTCGAACACTCGGGCAATATCGCATCGTGACTGATCGCTTCGTCGATCCTATAGTCTACAAAGCGTTACATTAGCGCTGACTATCCCGACTATCGTTCAGATTGTGCATATGTGGTTTCGAATATGTCCGATAAGTGATTTGATTTAGTTATTACTTTCGCTTCAGTCAAAGTGATTAACTCCAGTTTTTGAACTTTTAAAAATCTTAGCTCTTGGCTAATAGTTAACTTTTTATGTTTAACATAAATTTGATTAATAATTAAGTTTAATGCTACTAAACGAGAAAAATTCTTCTTTGGCTGCAGAATAATAAATAAATTAATTTCAAGAGCCAATGTAATTGTTTTAAGAGTATTCGATTTTTTCTGCATTTCGTATACTATTAAATAAAAGTCATGCTTCTAACAGTATTCTAAAACGTTTATTTGAGTTTAAATTTAAAAAAGAATGCATGTGTTATTTTAGTCCCTCTTATTTGTATTTCGCGGAGAGTTGATCAATTTGACAAATGAGTGGTTCAAGTAAAATTTTGATTTGCTACCTGGTCTGAAGATATCCTTTAGCCAGGAGAACATTCCATTTGTTTTTCGTATTTCTTTCTCGTCAGCATATCTGACTGATACTGTAAAGTCAATATAAATCGTTATAGGAAATGTTATTCAAAATTATATTGTATATATGTATTGTAAAAAGTTAATTGCTAGTACGAGACGATTCTGCATGCAACATTTTTTCATTCGAGATTTCGTTTTGAACAAAAAAGGATCATTGAATATACTTATTTAAAGATTGACTCGATACAGGTCAGTAAATTGAAGCTAAAAGTTTTTTTTGCTTATCTCATGCACGGAATAATTTCTTGTCAATTCAAAATGAGCCAGAACTCATCAAGTATGCTTGAAAAGTTTTCAGACTCAATTTTCTCGAACATGGTGTCTCGAATGAAAAAATGTTATTCCTTGTTCCTCATGTAGTTGTAATATTAGTTACACGATACGTATATATATATTTTATTTTATATTCTTGTTCAATAATTGATAATCTAAATTGTTAGATACAGGCACATTCATACTCAATACTTAGCCTTCTAGATTTTTATTATTCGGTCATTCATTTCTAAATTTCATGTTTTTTCTAATAAAAATGATTAGAGGTTAATAACACATTTTTTGACAAAAATAGAAGTTAACAACACGTTAATATCAAAGTCAAAATTAATGCCAGTGGGCAATAAGAACGCAGTGTTAAATATAATAATGATAATGTTCAAAATGACTTGCTTAGTGTTAGATTCCTTCTGAAAGAGGGGTTGAAGAACCCTCGTAACAGTTCGACAGAGCTGAGATGTCCTCGCAGCATGATGTTTCCTAAACTCGGTAAAAGTCTACGCAATTACAGTTACTGGACGAATTTTGTCGATAAATCGAATGTTATTGTATTTCCTGAATTTCCCGGAATTTGCGGTAATCTCTGCTCTCGATTGATTTTTCGATGATTTGTTAATAGGTTCGTTTGACTGTCTGCTTTTTCGATTTCGTTTCTTTCCTTTTCGTTAACATCGATTGACAAATGCAAGCGTGAACGACATTGCATCAATTCATTCGGTAAATTGTTTTGAACTTTGTATAAAAATTGTCTGATCGGTATATTTGTACAATGAGATATTTCAAGTCTTTAATAGGAACTACAAAATAACTAAAATTTGGGGTGTTTTAAGTTATTTTAGAAATATTTAGAAAATTTTGAATGAGGTATCATTACGAATAATAATCTGCTTATTCCTTTCATTATTACAAAATATCAAAATTAAATAGTTATCCCACACATTGTTAATTTTTTGCATATTAGATAAAAATAGGAAATTATTTTATATTTCTTTGTCTCCTCGTATTAAAATTTCTTATTCCATTTATATAAAACTTCCATAGTAATCACTTCCACAGGATCTATTTAAACATAAGCATCAAAGATGTCGTGTTACCTATTTTGTAAAGATTTTAGAAAATTGCAAAAAAATAATTTGGTAATTTGTAAAAAATTTAGTGAACGTACCACACGTCTTCTTAGCCTTTTCACTGTCGCACACACGTGGAGGAAAACGTTTTACCAAGGAAGAAGTTCGTATAAAAATCAATAAAAAGTCGTCCGATGTACAAAATGAATTTCGTGAGCAGCAAACAGCATCGCGTATGCGTCGCACGGAAAGTAAAGAAGAAATCTTAGCCAACTCTTAAGTAGTGGTAGCTGTAACTTTCGCCATGGGAACTTGACGAAGACGAGACATAATTATTCCGGGTAAATCAACCCTGGCGAGTTCCATCGACTCATCGAAGCCACAGCCCGGAGTCTGGTTAATCATTGCCAAAACTTTTCTCCCCATGAGACCAGAGACCCTCTCGCACGCTTAATGCCATAATGGACACTTCTGTCTCTCTCTCTTTTCGATTGCCGCCCTATTGATCCAAAACCACTAAACTCGTATGCCGCGTGATAGGTTCGTTGCTCGCAGATTGTTCCAACTTTTGACCCCAAGACGTTCGTGCAAGAGTGAAATTCCTCTCTCAAGAATCGCAGATTTTTACTCTTGACAATTTGTAATTTTTGTGATATATATATTCTTTAAATGATTATTTTATTACTACTTTATTATCTTTCAAATGATTTTAATATGAAGTTATATATGATTAATGAGTAAATGACACATTGAATGATATATGAATGATAATAGGTCAATATTTTGAGCGACTTACTCCAAAATATGATACACTTCTAATCAAAAGTTGAACGTATATATTTAAATTTAGAATAAATCCTATAATAAATCTTCTGTTATTTGTTTTATAAAATAGAAACAATTTTGTAAGAATGTTTTCCATAGACTTTTTCTAAAAAAAAAAATGTAAAAATCTTATTGACACTTTCTCTCATTGGTATTTTAATCATAGTTGGTATAGATATCTATGTTTCAAACATTTAAAGACGAACGTCAAATATCCAAATAATACAAATTTTATAATTAAATTATCAATAGACAATAGGTATACCAATTACATACATTGTGCATAACATACATCTGTTTCAATTCTGTACAATTGTCATATCATTAGATGCAAATAGAAGAAGAAAAATTGTAAGATTGTAGTCATATATATGAATCACAAGAGTTACTAAAACAGAATTTTATATTTCATATGACTCATACTTCGTCCAACTGTAATTTGTCCTATACGAATATCCAACAGCTCCGATTATGCGAGAAGTGTATAACTAAGTTTGAAGCTCAGTTACACATCTTGCATAAATTTTTCCCACAGAACACGAACCAACACAAAAGTACAGAGATCCTGAACAGTTATCAAATAAAAAAAAAAAGAACACAATATATTTTTATTTAAGAACAAATGCACAAAAAATTCATCTACACAAGAGTTAAGATTTACAAATCTCAAACTTGCATAATTAAAGAACTAGATAACACCCTTCTGATCAAACAGAACTCGAAACATACGCGTGACTCGGGAAAGAAAAAAAAAAAAAAAAGAAAAGAAAGAAAGAAAGATTACACGCGAAATGAATCGGTGACTGCCGTGGAAGAATAAATGTCTTACGTGTTATCAGATCTCTCGGCGGAGATCCGTATGGTCGTTCGTGATGTCGCATGCGAATGGCCATGGCGATTCGGGCCACGTACCGGCGCTAACCGTTAATAAAAGCTTAAAGGACATTATCGTAAGCATTCGCCGGGACATTAAAAAGCGCACGTGCCTCTAACGGTGGACCCTCGATGCAATTTTAAACAGCTATTTCCGGCCACCGCCACCTATCGTTCACGGTGACACATGTCCCCGGCGCCGTAACACGGATCCAAGGGATCCGCCCGGCTGAATACCAATCGCGAGGGGACCATGCCAAAGGGTGAAAACTTCTGCTCGTGGGACTTGTCCTTTCGCCCAATCAAAACAAACGTCCCACGTCCTGTAATATCAATCCGGCTTATTATTCCATCGGTCTTACCATCTATCCGACGAATTAACCATTGGCATCCACGATCGGCTGTTTGTAAATTTGCATGCTTCTGGTGAATTTTCAAGCCTCGCAGCCTCGACATTTTTTGTTTCTTTTACGGGATACAGCGAATATTTCACTTGCTGCAATTTTAACAATGGAACTTTAATTAATATAACAGTACAATGAAAATGAATAGGTGCTTGCACGTTGATAAATATCGCTGTTAATTATGTGAAAAATATTTTAGTAATTAAATAGAAACAAAAATTGTGGTAGCTATTGTTTTGGATTTGTTAAGCGGTCAGAACTGATCGTTAAATTAAATTTAATTAAATTAATTGTTGCTTGAATCACTAATTTGTCTTTGTCACAATTATCAACTCGAAACTTATGTTCCGGTTTTCATTATTTTTTTAATTTCATTACATTTCATTTTGCTTACTTTTATTTACTGCAAGAAATGGTAAACTCTAAATTTTGTGACATTCTCACATCTTTGAAAAATAATTTGCATCATGCAAATACATTATAGTCTAATCATTACTCTATTGAATATTATAATACGTATTAATAGTGATTAAACCATTTTGTTGGTTCCACTAACGAGAAAGTATAATTAAAAGAATTCTGAGTTCTCTATTTCAATTCATATTCAATCATGCACTATTCGATAAATATATAATGTACAAGAGCGCATCAAGTATTCTTTCATAAAGAAAAAAAGGAAAGTATAGAAAATTCCGTTTGCGAGGAAATGATGTTTGGAAATTTATCAGGCATACTTGGGAACTTGATTAGCTTCAGAAATGACATAATTTAATCAACAGAATTCTATCGTACGTGTGAAAGTCGAAAATGCGTAACAAAACTGTTTCACGAAACGCTTGATTTTCGACCAAATTAAATTTAAATATTTATTCGGTACACGTGTGCAAATTCTTGAAAGAAATGTATTTAAGTTTTTCCACTTTCATAAAAACAAGCCCTTAAATGGAAGAACTTTATTCTACATTTTTCAGATATTTACTCATGCAGAACAAGTTCCTGATGTTTACTCGCACCGAGTCAATAATTACCCGAATTCATATGTACTAAACAAATTTTCAACCTCAGTTTTCTCGGGAAACTAAATTTCGGTCGAAAAAATATTGGCAAGGAGATGAAACAATCTTGTAGATACTTAGATATATCCATGCAAATTTTCTTCTGTTTTTTAACTTTATTGTTTATTATCCATGTAGATCTTTATTGTAATAATCAGATTCATACACAATAAATAATACACTATTATATACAATAGTAGATCTTTATTGTAATAATTAGATTCATACACAATAAATAATACACTATCACATACAATATATTTGTATACACATATAAATACACAACAATACTATATATATATTATAATATATAAATAATAATATAACAATAATATAAATACTACAATATAATAATATATTATTATAATATACCATTATATATATAATGCAATACGCATTAATATATTACTAAATTATTATTATATTAATATATATTTAATATTTAATAATATAATAAAGTTAATATATAATAATATATTTAAATTATTAATATATTAATAAATACACAACAAATTGTTAAATTTAAATACACCCTAATATTATTAATATATTATTATATTATTTATTATGTCATTAGTATATTATTAATATATCATTAAATACAGAACAAATTGTTAAATTTGTTAAATTTGTTAAATTGTTAAATTTAAATACACCCTAATATTGTTAATATATTATATTATTTATTATGCTATTAGTATATATTATTAATATATTATTAAATACACAAATTGTTAAATTTGTTAAATTTGTTAAATACACCCTACATTCCTTTTAACAAACGTATACATACATTCTACGTCGATCCGAAAGTTTCAGTTACATCGAATTCTCCCAGAATTCGTGTAGTTAATCGCAGTATCGATAGGATGACACGGAGAGAGGCATATCCGGGGTCACTTTGAAACATCGTAACCGGTGGCGGTCGCGACGTGCCATCATTCCCCCGCGCTGGAATAGCGGTTATTTTTTCACGGGGCACGAGACAGACGGAAAGACGTACGGCAACGGAGGGAGGGACATTAGCCATAAATTCGTAGGTCCCCAGTGGCGAATAGAGGAGAAGCCAGCGTGCCAATTGTATAAATTGGCTATGACAAACTTATCGTCCCGCAGGCATGCGTGCGTGCGTACATGCGCGTCGCAACCATCCACGTAAGTCGCCAAGCTCTTTCTCTCTCTCTCTCTCTCTCTTTCTCTCTCTCTCTCTTTTTCTCCGTCTTCTCGTCTATTTGCTCGCCGTCCACG